TCCCTCCAACACTCGATAAAAATAACAGCAAAATGCGAGCTAAACAGGTAAAAAGTGCAACACATACTACCTCCCATTTCAAGTACCACGGAGTCGTAACCTTCACTGCTCACAGCGCCTTACTTGTTGTTTAAATGGTCCATTCGCTGCCCTCATTGGCCTCGTCTTCTGGTGTGATGAAAGGAGTGTGGATGGACTTGATCATAACCTCACCGCAGAAGATGCACTCGGACGCGATGATCTCGTCCAGCTTCTGTTGCACCATCTCGCGCTCCTGTGCAATAGACTGCTCCTTCGCGGCATTCTTGGCCTTAGCCGTCGCAGCACTGCCTCCTTCAGCTCCAGGAGTCATGACTTCCTTCTCGCTGGACGACAAGTTCAGGAATGAGAAAGCAGCCAGCGGTCTCTGGAAGAAATTAGTGCTGGTAGGCATCTCTGTGGACAGCTCATTGAGCTTCTGGATCAGCTGCTTCACTGTCTGGCGCTGGAAACTGTTCAAATGTTTCTGCATCTCCTGACGCAACGCACCAGCGTGGAAAGCATGAGAGCACGGGAAGAGATAGAACTCCTTACCCAGGATATTTTGACCAGTAAGTTCGCAGCGTTGGTTGCCTGATACAACGGCGCATCGCTTGCGTAGCTTCTGCATGTCAGCGCGGATCAACTCGGCGGACTGTGTGTAGTCCTGCATCTCTTCCTTCAGCTGTTCGATACGGTCATTGTAAACCTCGAGAGACTCGCAAATCTCCTTCTTGAAGTCGTTGATGAGCACGAAATCGGGGAAGAAAGGCAGGATGTCTTCGATTTTCAGCAAGCCACTTTCTTTCAGGATGTTCATGGCGTCCTTAATCTCACCACCGGCATCAATTGTGTGCTTGGCAATCAACGTCCACAGTTTCTTACGAGTCTCGTCATCCTCGGGCATGCTGGCCATTTCTTTCGCAATCTTCACATCCACTTGAAGTGCCTTCTCCACCGCGTCCTGATACAGTCCCATGGCCGAGTAGATGTAGATACACGCGCGGTTCTTCTCGTTCTGCGTGCAAAGACGTAAAGCAAAGGCAATGTCGAATAGATGCTTGCCATTGTGTTTCTTGCGCAAGAAGCTGATGAGCAAGCGCTCGTCCGGATGCTTTGCCAACAAGAACAACAAGTAGTTGTGGATAGTAGGGTCCCGGTTGCCCTGTTTAATGGCAAACTTCAGGAACCGGATAGCCATATCCAACACTGAGCGGTTCTTGGTGGTGTTGCTAGTTGGATTGCCACCCACGCCGCTCTTCTGGTGCACATGACGCACGATGGACGGGATAAGACGTGTCGGGTTCAACGTGGCAGCCTCAAGCCAGGCCTCGTACACTTCTTTCGGCTTGTGGATGATCAGCTCGGGGGAATACTTGTACCAGAGCTCCTCCACCTTAGACGTCTCCACGCTGCGTAGCAACTCAATTGCAGCACCATACTCGCCACGATCCACGTGATATGTGATCACTTTCTCGTAATCTTCAATGAGAGTTGCGTAGAACACCAGCTCATC